AGGAGTTTGAGGTTGCTGTGAGCTAGGATGGACGCCACAGCACTCTAGCCCGGGCAACACAGTGAGACTCTGTCTCAAAAAAAAAAAAAAAAAAAGAAATAAAACCACATGATAATCTCAATAGACACGGAAAAAGCACTTAACAAAACTCAATGCTCTTTCATAATAAAAAACAGTCAACAAACTAGAAATACAACGGCACTTCCTCAACGTGATAAAGCACATCCATAAAATCCTAGAGTCATCATTACACTTAATAGTGAAAGACTGAAAGCTATCCACCTAAGATTGGCAACAAGACAAGGATGTCCAAACTCACCTTTTCTATTTACCTTAGTACTGAAGGTTCTAGCCAATGCAATCAGGTAAGAAAAAGAAATGAAAGGCGTCTAGATTGAAAAGGAAGATATAAATCTATATTTTAAAATGACATAATCTTATATATAGGAAATCCTAAGGAATCCACCTAACAAACAAGTTTTGCAAGTTTGGAGGATAGATCAATATGCAAAAATCAATTGTATGTCTATATACTAGCAATGAATAATCCAAAAATAAAATTAAGAAAACAATTCCATTTACAGTAGCATTAAAAAGAATAAAATGCTTAGGAATAAATTTAACAAAATAAGTGCAAAATGTATATTCTGAAAACTACAAAGCATTAAAAAAAATTAAAGAAGACTAAATAAATGGAAAGTCTTCCCATGTTCATGGATTGGAAGGTTTACTATTGTTAACATGACCAAAACTCAAAACTGATCTACAGATTCAATGCAATCACTGTCAAAATCCCAGCTGGCTTTTATGAAGAAATTGACAAATTAATCCTACAATTCATACAGAAATGTAAGAGATCTAGAATAGCCAAAACAATCTTGAAAAAGAACAAAGTTGTAAGACTGACACTTCCTCGTTTTAAAAATTACTAAAAAGCTACAGTAATGAAGACAGTGTGATTCTTATATTAATATAAAGACAGACATAGCTGGGTGCAGCGGCACTCATGTCTGTAATCCCAACACTTCGGGAGGCTGAGGCAGGAGGATTGCTTGAGGCCAAGAGTTCAAGACCAGCTGATCAAGGGCGAGACCCCGTCTCTACAAAAAATACAAAAATTAGCTGGGTGTGGTGGTGTGTACCTGTAGTCCCAGCTACTTGGGAGGCTGAGGCAGGAGAATAGACATTTCTCTAGGAAGATATATAAATGGCCAATAAAAACATAAAAAGGTAGTTAACATTATTAGTCATTACAGAAACGCACATCAAAACCACAGCGAGATACCACTTCACAACCACTAGGATGTTTATAAAAGAGAAGATGGGAAATAAGTGTTGGCAAGGACATCAAGGAATTGGAACTTTCACACACTGCTTGTGGGGATGTAAAATGGGGCAGCCACTTTGGAACACAGTTTGGCATTCTCTCATGATGTTAAACATAGAGTTACTATATGACTCAGCAGTTTCACTCTTAGGTATATACCCAAGATAATTAAAAACATATGTCTATACAAAAACTTGTATATGAATGTTCATAGTAGCATTAATGTAGTATATCCATGCAACTGAATATTATTCATATATGAATTATTATTCATATAAAGGAATGAAGTACTGATATATGATACAACATGGATGAACCTCAACAATATTAAGCTAAATGAAAGAAGCTAGACACAAAAGTCCACATATTGTATGATTCCATTTATATGAAATATTCAGAACAGGAAAATCCATAGCAACAGAAAAATACTAGTGGTTGCTAGAGGTTGAGGAAAGTGGACAGTAACTGCTAATGATTAGTCAGTTTCTTTCTGGGGTGATGAAAATATTCTAGATTTAGAGGTGACAGTTGCACAAATTTGTGAAGATACTAAAAACTATTGAATTGTACACTTTAAATGGGTGAATTGTATGACATGTGAATCATGTCTCAGTAAAGCTGTTACACAATTTAATTTCATGCTTTCCTTGATAATCACAACCAAAATCTCTCGTCTTTCAGCAAAAAAGCTTATTTATATGATGGTATTAATGCCCATTGTCAGTATTTACAGACAAAGAAAGTAGTTAGCCTCCTCTGGAAACAATAGTCACCTTCAAAGCATGCTATGAGGTCAATGATGAAGAATTTTTCAAAGTGCTAAGGAATAAAGATTTTAAAAAAGAAAGTTTCCCATGTCTTACCATTCATTTCCTTTTTTTTTTCAAATTTATTTTTAACGTGGGAGTAGGGGGAGGAGAGACGGGGGAGAGAGCGAGCTTACAATTCATTTCTCTATAAATTTTCACTCCCCATATGACATAAATTTCTTTTTCTAGAGCATTATATAATCTTTCAGATTTGTTACAAGCATAAATTTTCCATTAATCCAATTGAAATTTGACCATCTCACTTTAAAAATAATTTATATACCATTAGCTAATTGATCTGTATTTAACATGCTGATGGAGGTCTCTAATTGCCAAAAAACCTGATCCCAAGTTGTTCCATAATAATTTTTTTTTTTCTTTTTAGAGAAGGAGGAAGGAGTCTCTCTATATTGCCAGGCTGGCTTCTAAAGGCTAGGCTCAAGGGATCCTGCTGCCTCAGCATCCGGAGTAGCTGGGACTATACAGGTACGCACCACTGCGTCCCAGCTCAATGGCAATTTTTATGAAGAGCACACAACCCAAGTCTGCAGCAGTCAGAGGATGTCATGCTAAGTGTCACACATAACTCCGATGAGTCAATTCCCCAAGCCTATTTTATCACCTTAAAGAATGCTATTTCTTTGATTATTCCGACTCTTTTAGCTGATGTTGGTACCAGGACTGATGCAAGGGCCGGATGCATGCTACCTGTAATTGCAGCATAAATTATGTGACAGAGCCAAGACCCCAACGCAGTCAGAGACTAGGTTTCAAGTATGGATTCTTTCTAATCCTTGGTTAGCCAGCTTTGACAGAACAGATGCTAATAGACTGAATTGATTGGATAAGTATTCATTGGGCACCTGCTCTATGCAATGACAGTATACAAGGGCCTAGATATGGGGGCCGCGAAGGAAGAAAAGTCTGTCTTCCGTCATATCTTCTAGTTGAGTTTCTTCCTTTATTACGTTCATTATCACATTTGTTACACATATTATTAAATTCTTTCCGTAAAAGAGGCTATGTTGAGCAGGTAACCAAATTCTTGGTCCCCAAAAGGCACTGTATAACATAGATGATTTATGCAATTGGAAGGGAGAATTCATCAGAGAACAAAGTCTAGATCAGGACGGAGCCCGTTCAATTCCAGGATCCTCAGAAGCCCAGCCTGGATTCAGATTTCCCACCCCAACAGCTCCTAGGGAGCACGCTGGAGAGACAGATTCTCATCAGCGAGAAGGCGGGGCGCTCCTCAGTTAAGGAACCTCAAGTCCCAGAATCCCACGAGGACTCCAAATCCCAGAAACCTGCACGCAAATCTATCCCGGGTGCCAAGTCGGCTGACCGCGGACGTGAGCAAGTTAGGAAACTGGGGTGAGATGCTGCAGCATCTGTCTGTACTATTTTCCCTGAAGGGAAGGGGCTTCCTAATAAACTACAGAATGTGAATTCTCTGTCACAGCTCCCACGAAAGGACCCGTCCCAGCCTGTTTGGTATGAAGGCCAGCGTCTCCCATTCTGCTTTCCCCTTTCTCTGCCCCCGTAAGAATGGTTCAGCCCGGCATTGAGGCTCCTTGAGTTGGATCGATGGTTGTGCCCGCCCTACGCCGGAATGCGGGCCTTTGGAGCGAGCGCGGTGGGAGGCACCGAGGCGGGAGGCGTTCTGGGCCTGGGCGGCCGTAGAGGCGGCGGCGCCTGCCGGCTGTGGGAGGAGCCGCGAGGTTCCGGCTTCTTGGGCAAGGCGACCCTTGGGTCGGCGCTGCGGGAGAGGAGGACAGGTAGGTGAGCGGAGGGCCGCAGCTCTCGGACCAGCTCGGGCGGCGGAGTCCCCCACGGCGCCCGGGCCGCCCCCCGCACTCCCGGCCTCTAGCTTCGAGGCGGGGGAGTGAGGAGATGCCGACTCAGAGGGACAGCAGCACCATGTCCCACACGGTCGCAGGCGGCGGCAGCGGGGACCACTCTCACCAGGTCCGGGTGAAAGCCTACTACCGCGGGTAAGTGTCCGGGAGCTAGAGGTGGGGGTGGGAAGGGAGGGGAAAGGCTAGCTCAACTTGGCTTGGGGGAGGAGAGGGTGAGGGGCTGGAGGTGGGTCGGGCTGGGCGGGCGGCTCTGGGGATTCGGGGTGGGTGACGGAATGATCGGGGAGGAGCAAGGAAACGCGCGGGTTGGAGCACCTTCAGGTGTGGTGCGGGGCGCTTGGAGTCCGAGGGGCCAGAGTAGGGTCCGAGGAGGAGCCTTGGAATAGAGTAGGTTCGCTTAGTGGGGGCGAGAGACTCGCGTATTGAGAGGTTTGCAAGGACTTTACATCATTAATTTTGGGTGTATGTGGGGTTGAGAGTCGAGTGTTCCAGGTGATGCCTCAATTAACACCGTTTGCAGTGAACTTAGAAAACCAGACTGCTTCAGTTAAGCTGGCCCTTTTTTGATTACCAGCAGGCCTGAAGCCTCCGGTTCTTTGAGACAGGTTTACCTTCATCACCGTTGTGTTCACGAAGTGTATCTGGACTATGGTCAGACTGTCAGCGTATTAGACATGAGTTATATTGAAGAGTAAAGTTGATGCGTTTTCAGGGATGTGCGTTAGGTATTTATGTCTCGCCAAAATTAAGTTGCATATGTGTAAATTAAAATTTTGTGAACCCTTGTTTCAAGGAGCATGCAGTAGGTTGAGGTATTGCAAGGTGAGAGGAGGACTAACCTAGGCACAGTTTTAAATTCTATGATCCTTAGTCATCTTATTACATGTTATCATTACTGTGGTTACCAGAAATAATCCAGGCCTAAGATCATCGAGTTAAATCACTCTATCAACAGTGATGCAAAGTGCCCTCCGTCCTTTGAATTCAGTTGTGGTTTGAAAAACAAATTTTTTTTTGAGATAATTATGTTTAGGAACATTAGAAATATGAAATGTTAGAGTGAGCCTAAAGGTTTGAGAGTAAGGATTAACAGAAAACCCAACTGCTTTGGCCTGTCCAAGTAAATTGCTTTAAAAAAACTCAAGCACTGCCAGGTTGAAACTGCAGTGCATACTTTTACATTCCTATGAGGATCAGCGAAGACAGCAAATTCTCAAACTGCCTCTCTTGTTTTGATTTTAAAGAAATATAAGCCCCTGAACGTCTTATTGATTTGATGTAAGGACTTACTAGTTTATTTGCTGCCATGAAGCGCTGACCTCTATTTAATAGGTTAACTATGTTCAGGAGTAGTTTATAGGAGTTATATTGGACAGTATTACATCTGTGTTTTTATTTAAACATATGTAAAATTGATCCACGAGTATTTTTTTTTTTTTTTTTTTTGAGATAGAGTCTCACTGTGTTGCCCGGGCTAGAGTGAG